TACTACTACTACTACTACTACTACTACTACTACTACTACTACTACTACTACTACTACTACTACTACTACTACTACTACTACTACTACTACTACTACTACTACGACTACTACTACTACTACTACTACTACTACTACTACACTACTACTACTACTACTACTACTACTACTACTACTACTACTACTACTACTACTACTACTACTACTACTACTACTACTACTACTACCTACCTACCACTATTACTACTTCCTACCACTATTACTATTACATGATGGATACCACCATCTCCATGTTTTGAAGACGCGGGAAGCCGAACCGAAAGACCACCAGGCACGCGTCTGGAACTTGCCGACGGGTTTCGCACCCCAGGCCACGGATTGAACAAACCACATCGGCGGACCTGAGAAATACGGGCCGCGGATGTGTTGGGTTTGTCGCTGTTTGTTGTTGTTTCGTGACCCGGGTGCGTGTCCTGGGAGGACCCAACGAGTCAGAATCAGATCGGTCTACCACGCGTTGGTGACCTGGGAGGACCCGAATGGTGAGAACCCCATGGGTTCCTTGGTTTTACACGCGTTCGTGACCTGGGCTCGTGTCCTGGGAGTGGTGTCCGAGCTCATCAACGCTCCCCCGGGCCTCCGCTGTCTCCATTCTTTGTGGCCTCCACGATGCCCAAAAATCCGCCGACCCCTTGGGGCCATCGGCGTGTGAGACGCTTCCCCCCCCCCAACCCCCCCCCTGGCCCGGTCGGGTCGTTTTGGAGGGGGGGTCCGGCCGGCCCCGGCTGAACGCGTCACGGGCGTCACGAGGGGACACGAGGGCCCCAAGAGGCCCACAAGATGGTCCAAGAGGGCCCCGAGTCGCCGATGGATCGTTCCAAGACACCCAAGATGGCCCCCAAACGGCCCAACTGGCTCCCGAAATGCCCCAAGAGGCGTCCCAAGAGCGCCCCCAGAAGCAAAAATCCCCCCATTCCCTTGAGGAACCGTATGAGTTTAGCAGATTCGTCTCTTGGGCTTTCACAGCGTCACAGACGGCCCAAGAGGCTTCCAAGATCGCCCCAAGACGGCCCAGGAAGCCCCCAAGAAGGCTCCAAGACGGCCCAAAAGGGCCCCAAGACGGCCCAAGTGGCCCCCAAAACTCCAGGAGGGGGCCCAGGCGAGGGACCCGAACGAAATGTCGAGCCCTCGGCCCCAAGCCTCCAGGAGGCCCCAACAGGCCCCCAAGAAGCCCCCAAGAGGCCCCGAAAGGCCCACCAAAGGCTTTTTTTCTCCCCCAAGTCCCCAGCAGCAACCCGCAACGAGGCCCGCCCGCCGCGCACAGCGGCACGCCAACAGGCCTGGCTGGCCTGCTCAGCTGGAGCCCCTCTCCAGCATCATCTCGTTCACCATGCTCGCATAGTGAGACAGCCCAGCTGCACCATCACGTTGACTGTGCTACCCACTCAGCACTGGTAGAACGAGCCCCTGGTCCAGCGGTTTCCCTGTTTGCGGGTGTTGCCCCGCCAGGATTATGTCCCTCTTCTTGCGTTTCGCGTCGCCCTTGCTCGATCTTCTTCGGCGCTGCAAGGGCCCCGGGCATGCTACCCCCAGCCCTGCGCGCCTCCTCGCCGAGTGCGCTCCGCCGCACACCACGCACACCACATACGGCCCGTGGACCTCAACAGTGCGTGGTCGTCCACGTGCCTCTCCCTGAGCGTCGACCTCGGGCACGGAGCGTCCACCAGCACCACCAGCGGCGACCGTGGCGGCCGCAGCGGCCATGGCCACGCTGGCCTCCAATGAGCTCCCCGCTCCTGAGCTGCTTGCCCCTGTCGTTTTCCATCTCGGCTTGATGCACCCCGCCTGCCACAGCTTCTTGCGCATCCGTCGCGAGGCTGCTCTTAGCCCGCATCTCTTGCATACCTGCCAGCCGTCCTTCTCCACGACCCAATGCTTGGTGAGCACAATCAGAGGCTTCGCAACGCGCCGTCGTGGTGCTCCTTTCTCGAGCTTTGGGATGTCTGGCCACTCACCCGCCGTCTTCTGATACCACCATCCCACGTTCTGAAGCGCCCACCGTACTCGTACGGCAAGATCCTCCAGCGCCTGGTGCCATATCTGCCCCTGCCTTTGCCAGCAGGCCCACCTCTCTGTTGCCCTTCGCAATCTTCAGGCCGTCGCCTTCCAACTGCTCGATCTTTGCCTTGGACCTGTGCGCCTTCACATGCTTCACGCACCCGACGTCCAAGTCCAGGTCCTTCACCTGGTGCCAGATCCGCTTCCAGATGTCAGCATGCGGCCTCTTCCAGCTCGTACACCACCGCTCGCCCTGCTGCAAGCCCTCAAGGATACCCTCGTGGTCCGTGTAGATGCGAACTGGCGGCATCTTCCGCTCCAGCGCCTTCAGGAAAGCCCACATCTCCGAACGTTTGACTCTCCTGTGAATTGGCAGCGTACACGGTAGCGGTCCCCACAGCTGCATCTTCGCGCTGCCCTCGTCCGTGAGTGACACAGCTGCCCACCCAGTCTGAACCCACTCGCTGTAGCCCAGCTTTGATCTGTCGCACGCGATGTCGCCCGTGAAGTAGTCCTCATCGCCCTGTACCACCTGGCCGGAGTACTGGTTCTCTCCGATGCCCACGAAGGTGCAGTCCGCTTCTGACCTGCGAACCAGCCCACGCGTCCACGACATGTTCGTTTCCTGCTGCTACGACACGGTCTGCCACTCCGCCTGCGCCTGCAACCGCTGCTCCCTGAGCGCCTCACCCTTGTAGTACCTGTGGTGCTCCGTCCGTACTGCCTTGCCGCACGCCAAACAGATGTCCGTCGGCACGATGTTGCACTGGCTTAACTTCGCCCATCGTCCAAGCCCCGCCCAGAAACGCCTTCTTCGCTGCTGGCGCCAGCAAAGGCGCTGGGCTCAAGCTCTGGTACTCCTCGGCCTTGGTCCAGTCCTCCAACAGCTTACTCTGCACGTTTTTGCGCAACATAGCTGCAGCGTCCATGGGGCAAGCATCCGCCATGTTCAGCTCGTAGCCCTGCTTGGTGACGAACGTGTGCCATGCTGGCCAAATCCAACTCGCCCTCCTCATGGACATGATGACCGCTCCTGCTGGTCCTCGCACTCGCGCCCAAGCCGGCTTCATGCCGACCTCCTGTTGCTGCCGCCGCCACGCCTGCTGCAGCATGTGCGCAATGCTGACCCCGTCGTCGCCTGCAACCCCCTGCGTTTGTGCTGTCTGCCACACAACCCGCGCCCACCTGACAATCGGCGCCTCCGTGACCTCGTACGTGGGCTCCTCCTGAACCACTGCCAACTGCAATGTCAGACTCCTGCCAAAAGAGCCCCTAAGAGGCCCCAAAACGGCCCCCAACAGGCATCAAGAGTGCTGCCAGGAGGCCCCCGAGAGACCTACCAGGAGCCCCAGGGGTCGGCCGTACGGCGTAAGCCCTACGCTTGCTCAAGTAGGTTTCCAGCGCGCACAGGAGTCCTCGAAGGCGACCCAGATAGCCTCAACACTGCAGAAGAGGCCTCAAAGACGCTGTAAGAGAGCTCCAAGACGACTCAAGACGACCCTCAAAGGGCCCTCAGAAGCAAGAATCGTCCAAGTCCACTGGGACAACAAAGACTTTGCACATATTCTCAGTTTGGTTTCAACAGCGTCCAAGACGGTTCAAGAGGCCCCCACGATCGCTGTAAGACGGTCCCTTGCTCGTTTCTGCCCCTTGCCTGGCCCGCGTTTCTTTGTCGGCCTGTCCCGGTGTCCGAATAAGAGCCGCGGCGCCCCGCACTGCCACGCAGGCGAATAGCCTGGCGTGGGAAGTTTTTCCATCCAGGTTGGCACATACAGTCTTCCGCTTGCACCACACCGGGCACACGCTCCGAGTGACTCTCCAAAGACGGTCCCAGGAACTACAAAGAGGGCCCCAAGACGGCCGACGAGGGCCCCAAAACAGCACAAGGGGGGCTCAAGAGGCGCCCAAGATGGCCCGGGAGAGCCCCAACAGGGCCACAGCAGGGCACCAGGAGAAGTAACTCGATGGTATTCCGAACCCTCCGCCCCGAGATCAAGCAGTGGCGAAGCGTCCCGGCTCGCCGATAGCCCTACCAAGCAATGTTCTAAGAACCTCTTGTGGTTCCCACGAAATGTTAATATAACATTTCTGGTTGGGACTGTCTTGTTGTATCACATCGGGTTTATGTTTTAAGACCGGTCTTTTTGTTATTAGAGCATTTGCGGGTTCTAAGAACATTTCGTGGTAGGACTATAGGAATGCCGGGACGGTCGGTCCCTGCTCACAAGAGGACCCCCGAGACCGCCAGCAGGCGCACAAGAAACTTTCCAGAGCCCCGAAAAGGGAGGCCCCCAAGAGGCCAAATAGAGGCCCCCAGAGGATCCCCAAGAGGCCCCAGGCCTCACAATTGGACTTCATCCCTCTTCTGGGATCGACAACCGGCGTAGGCCTCTTGAATGAAGTGTAAGGAAGTCGCAGGCGAGCGCGCGTTTCCTGGAGAAGTTGCAAGGAAGTCTCGAGCGAAAGCCCGATTCCACTGAACGACTTGTAAGGAATTATCAGACGGGAGGCATTGTTGTGGTAAACTGGGGGCCGCCAGGGGCCAAGTATGACTCGCAAGACTCCCCCTTGTAAGAAACAAAGTGCGAGCCCCAGGAGGGGCACTTCAAATGAGAAAACACAGAAAGTGGACGGGAGGGGGGACTCAACAATACTTATTCTTTACAAATGAAAACTGAAAAACCAACAACAAGCAGAATCTGGGCCACGTAATCCCACTGCAGCCACGCACACAGGGATGGTGTAAGACCGTTCGGTCCCCTCACCCTGACTAAACACCAGAACAGAAGCTATATTCAGATGCCACACAGATGAAAAAAACGCATATTATCTCTGAACCGGTCCTCATTTTGCATGGCTGTGGAGGGCACTGGCGACTATGAAGAGGCGGCGGGGAGAAAAAGCGTCCGGGTGACCAGGGGCCGACGGCGGCGGCGGCGGCAACGACGACAACGGCGGCGACAACGGCGACGACGGCAACGACGGCGGCGACGAGCTGCGGCGGCGGCGGCCGCGACGACTGCGACCGCGACGACGGCGACGACGGCAACGACGAAGGCAACGACGAGCCGCGACGACTGCGACGGCGACGACGGCAAACGAGCCGCGGCGGCGGCGGCGGCGACGAGCGGCGGCCGCGGCCGGCGCAACGGCCGCGGCCCGCGCGGTGCCCGCGCGCGCGCCTTGCCGCCAGAGGGCCTGGCGAGCGCGGCTCGTTGCCCCGATAAGGGGGGGGAGCGCGGTACACCGGGGGCGGCAGGGGAGGAGGATAGGGGAACGAAGAATGACATAAACATAAAAACTCGGAGGTCCGCACGGATTTCTCGGACCCGCGCTGGACACCCCTGGCGGCGCCTCCGGCGCCGCCCCTGGCGAGCTCCGCGCGCCAGGGAGGGGGGGTCCAGCGCGGATCCGAGAAATCCCGCGGACCTCCGAGTTTTCATGTTTATGTCAGTCTTCGCTCCCCTAGAGGAGGAGGAGGAGGAGGAGGAGGAGGAGGAGGAGGAGGAGGAGGAGGAGGAGGAGCAGGAGCAGGAGCAGGAGGAGGACCAGTGTAAACCCAAGAGTCATCAACGATGTTGGAATAAACCCTCCCCCAAGCTCCCTCTTCATAGGTCCCTACAACGGTTCGTTTCCACTTGGAGAGCTGCCTCGTTGGAAGACAACCCTTTGAAGACCCTGTAGCATGCAAAAAAATGTTTTCGGGATTCCAACGCCACTGATCAACCTAACTGTTTTGTCTTGACGATCCTGAAACCCTGAATCGCATCAGAACACCATTCCTGGGACTTCAACACCGCGAACCAAAGTACCTGTTGCACCCTCATAATCCTGAATCCTTCCATAGCACCATTTCTGGTACGTTGGTCATGGGAACCCCTGAAACTCCTGCAAAGATGAAAATTTAAATGAACGAATGTGCGCGGCGCTAAAGCGAGAGCCACAGGTTGAAAAGAAACCACCCGCAATCCGTGAAACTCTTGCATATGTTCAAAACGACTGTGCGCGGCGCTAAGGCAAGAGCCACAATTTGACAAGGAACCGCCCTCAATCCGTGCAACTATTATACAGATGTTCAAAACGAATGTGCGCGGCGCTCAGGCGAGAGGCACAATTTGAAAAGGAACAGCCCTCAATCCGTGAAACTCTTACAAATATTTTCTTGTTTACATAAAAAAAAAAAAAAAAAAAAAAAAAAAAAAAAAAAAAAAAAAAAAACTAATGTGCGCGGCGCTAAGGCAAGAGCCACAACTTGAAAACGGCCCGCCCTGGATCCGTGAAACTCTCACAAATGTTTGAAACGAATGTGCGCGGCGCTGAGGTGAGAGGCGCAGTTTGAAAATGACCCGCCCTCAATATGTGTAATTGAGGCCGATGTTTACGCTTCAGGGTCATAAGCAGTGAGGAAGTCTCAGGCGAACGCCGGGAACCCTAAACACTGGCCTCCTCCCTGTCTCCTCCTGCTCCCTCTCTCTCTCTCTCTCTATCTCTGCTCCTCCGCCCTCTTCCCTCTCTCTCTCTCTCTCCTCCTGCTCCCTCTTTCGCCTCCTCCTTCTCCTCCTCGTCCTTCTTGTCCTCGTCCTCCTCCTCCTCCCTCCTGCTCCTCCTGCTCCTCCTCCTCCTCCTCCTCCTCCTCCTCCTCCTCCTCCTCCTCCTCCTCCTCCTCCTCCGCCTCCTCCCTCCTCCCCCCTCCTCCCTCCTCCCTTCCTCCTCCGCCTCCTCCCTCCTCCTCCTCCTCCTCCTCCTCCTCCTCCCCCTCCTCCTCCTCCTCCTCCTCCTTCCTCCTCCTCCTTCCTCCCCCACCTCCCCTCCTCTTCCTCCCTCCTCCCCCTCCTCCTCCTCCTCTTCTTCTTATTATTATTCGTACGATTATTAGTATCATTAGTCTTTATAGTATTATTATTATTCTTATTCTTCTTAGTATTATAATTAGCATTATTATTATTAGTATGCTTCTTATTATTATTATTATTAGTATGATTCTTCTTCTTATTAGTACTACTATTAGTATTAGTATTAGTATACGTATTATTAGTCTTATTATTATTTAAGTATTGTTATTATTATTATTCGTATTATTATTATCATCCGTATTATTCAGTATTCGTCGTATTCGTTGTGTTATTCTTATTCTTCGTATTATTATCTTATTCTTAGTATTCTCATTATTATTATTATTCTTAGTCTTACTAGTATTATTATTAGTAGTAATATTATTGCTATTATTATTATCAATAGTAGTATTAGTATTATTAATAGGATTATGCTTATGCACCCTCGTCGTATAATTATTTTCATCAACATTATCATGTCTTATTATCATTATTCTTATTAGTAGTATGGTTCGTCTTCGCATTAGCGTTCGCATTGCTATTATTATGAGTCGTAGTTGTATTAGTGTTGTCATTATTGTTCGTCGTCTGATTGTGAGTATTCTTCTTATTCTTATTATTCGTCTCCGTATTACTATCAGTATTACTATGATTATTAGTATTGTTATTAGTGTTCGTCTGCTTGTTATTATTATTCGTCGCCGTATTATTCTTATTCGTCGTACTCTTGGTATTCTCATTAGTCGTCGTATTATTATGCGGATTCCCCGTCGTCTTCTTCTTCGTGTTCTTAGTATTATTATTAGTCTTATGAGTAGTAGTATTATTATTAGTATTCGTATTATTAACCGTCTGAATATACTTATTCTGCAGGTTAGTCGTATTAGTATGATTCTTCGCATTAGTATTATTAGTGGTATTAGTCTGCTTAGTCCTCCTCCTCCTCCTCCTCCCTCCCTCCCTCCCTCCCTCCCTCCTCCTCCCTCCTCCCCCCTCCCCTCCTCCCTCCTCCTCCTCCTCCTCCTCCTTCCTCCTCCTCCTCCTCCTCTCCTCCTCCTCCTCCTCCTCCTCCTCCTCCTCCTCTCTCCTCCTCCTCCTCCCCTCCTCCTCCTCCTCCTCCTCCTCCTCCTCCTCCTCCTCCGCCTCCTCCTCCCCCTCCCCCTCCCCCTCCCCCTCCCCCCTCCCCCTCCTCCCCTCCCCTCCCCCTCCCCCTCCCCCTCCCCCTGCTCCTCCTCCTCCTCCTCCTCCTCCTCCTCCTCCTCCTCCTCCTCCTCCTCCTC